ACGACGCCACACAATTATTTACATATTCCAATAACATAACCTCATTACTGATTTGAGGCTGGAAATCTGTTGGGTTGGTACTTCCGAACTTCACGAAGAAATTGACGAAGATTAGAACATGTTCTGGTTCGTCAAGAACTTGATGAATAAATTCATGAAGTTATTTGACAGCAGATTTGGTGCATTACACTTGTCCAATTTCTTGATGAAGCGACTTCATGAATTAATTGACTAATAAATTGTCAATGTAAAACAGTTATAAGAAATAGTGCAGGTTCCACGAACTTGGAAAAATATTTCTCAGCTAAGCCATTGCATGAACCAGATAGCTTGTTTATTCAGCTACAATTTCCTTTTTTTTTTAAATTTTTCATCGAAATATGGTACTTTTAATGGAAAGGGATCCTTTTGTCTTCAATCATCGATATCTCGGCGACAAATGGTCGTACAGAAAATTGAAGGACAGTTTCGAAAACTGGAATAAATTAAAAAACAGGAAAAAAGGGTAATTTATGATTTTTTACTAAATTGACGGCTAAATTAGAAATATTCACGAAATGACTAATCTTAAGCATGACTTTTACAGTCGATATACCCAGAAGAACCGTGTGAAGTTTCATCTCGATCTAGCGAACCGTTTCTTTGTTTCAGTCAAATTTTTGAAAAAAATTAAAGTCACGTTTTTTGAGCTTAAGTACTTCATAATCATGATTAAAATGGAAAAAAGTTTTTTGACGTTGTCACGCATTTTTACCGCAAATAACGTTTAAATTGTTGAAAAAAAAAAGATTTTTTTTTCAGAGAAGAAAAAGGATAGTTTTGAAAAAAAGTGATTACAGACTGCACAAAAATTAATTAAAAATTTGTCTCATAAAACGGTATGAATCGGGGTCGAAAACTCGTTTGGGTCATCAATTTTAATTTTAATTTTAATTTAATTAAAAGTTGATGAACAGAAGCATAGGACGAAAAAGCCTAATCGTGCTGCAAATAATTGGATTTTGTTTTCTTCAATGTCCGAAAGATTTTCCAAAAAAAAAACAAAAAAAAACTTTTTCCAAAATTTTTCTCATTTCTTTTTTTTTTCATCAATTTAAACATTATTTGCGGTAAAAATGTGAGAAAACCTCAAAAAATATTTTTATTCCATTTTAATTATGATTATGAAGTGTTTAAGCTCAAAAAACGTGACCCTTTAATTTTTTTTCAAAAGTTTGACTGTTTAAAACAAAGAAACGGTTCGTTAAATCGAGATGAAACTTCACAGGATTTTTCTGGGTGCATCGAACTGTAAAAGTCATACTTAACATTAGTCATTTCGTGGTTATTTCTTTATTTTTCAAAAAAAGTTTGAAAGCTTGAGAGCTCTTCTATATGTGACTAAATTTTCAAGTATCTAAGGGCCTTGGTTTTTGCTGTGCAAAAATTTGAAAATTTGCAATATTTTTTCAAAATCTAGATTGCAAAATTATTATGCAAAATCTATCGAACCGATTTTGATGAAATTTGGTGTGATAATTATACATAACATGAAGTTTTTTTGAGCCAAGTATAAATACCCAATTTAAATACCCCAAAAAAATTCCCTAAAAAGTATTGTTTTTAACCCCGTTTTTGCGATTTTTTCGATTTTTACCATAATAAACATGATTCATTCGATTTGTAACTAGACATGTATTGTAAAAAATTTAATTGCAAATATTTTTTTCCTCTTCCATTGTCGCCTAAAATCAACGCTTGAAAAGATACATAATTAAATAGGAAGAAAAATATGACATTTTTCGAATTTTTTTAACATATTGTGCCGCCAAAAGTTAAGCCCACGTTTTTTTTATGCGCATAGAAAAATTTTCATTTCTAGTGATATTTGAAAGCCAAAAAGCCAAAAATCTCCGTGGATATACGATTCACCCAAATATGGCTTTTTGAAACAGATACTGTCTGGACTATTATATTGATGGTAAATTTCGTTTAAAAGGTCTCCAAAATGCCACGTTGTAATAATATTATTTCTCTCTTTCGCAATTGTAAAATAAATGACTAATAGAAGGTGCCTATAAAAAATTAAAATGACCTAAATTACACCAAATTCCGTATTGCTGCACTGCACTGCTGGGCAATTTGTCAACAACTTGTCAAAATCTGAGATTTATTGCCCAGTGGCCCAATGCGGTTGTGTTAGATTTCGTTTGCCCGCGTTCGCATTCTTCAACTGGGCGTATACATTTCTACCACCTCCGCGTTTATTTCGTCAAAACCTGGTTAAATAAATATGGGAACAAGTTTTTCAAATATTTCAATGCCGAGTTGCTGCGTCAGCGACCGCACCTGGTACATACAGCCAACGTGTTGGTTCTTCAATTGATATCAGAAAGACGAGGTGTTGGTAAATAAAATTCGGTAACGCAACAGCAATAGAATAAAATTGTAGTACGATTTTAAAATTAAAGAGCAACATTGTTAGTTGAGTTCCATTCTTATCTGTTGCGTATCCTATTACGAAAGAATCGTTATCCCTGCAACGGGATAACTTCTGGAGTAGCAGGAACTTGTTGCACGTTCCCGTATTTACTACGACTTACACCTGTGGACACCTACATGGGCCACGATGCGCACCGCCTGGCTATAAAAGCGTGGAGACCGCGGGGCCAAACCATAGCTCCCGCGGACACTAGGCGCAGCCTGAAAGTGACTGAAACTCCTGAAGTCGCCCGAGGCCGAAGTGCAAGAAGGCTTCTTGTCGCGAGTGCTGTGGTGTTTTCAGTGTGCATCCTGCTTATTGAACGTAAGGATAACGTAATGATAAAGTTTTTATAAAGGGTGTTTGTCTTAAGCCGTTCCATAGTTTTGGATTTTGTTTCATGAAAATGATAAAAAAGTTGCCGGGGATTTTTATTCAGGAATTGTTTTCGCGCAGGGTGTTTAAGTTGAGTGGAATGATCAATTTACAGATTCATTATTTTTGTCCGATGAAAAATTAAATACTGATAACCATTATATAAAAAATTTTCAATTGGAAAGTTATGTGGCAAGTATCAAAACGTATTTATAATCGTGGAAGATATAAAAAATATATTTATTTCTATCAATTCTTGAGTTAATTGAAAAAGAAAAAACAATTTTTGTAATTTAAATGTTTTATGTGCCTTGGTCTTACCTCCAGTATTGTTATTAGTAAGAGAGTAAAACTATTTGCTTGCTCTATTCCCAGTTACATTAATAAAATTCACTTTTATAAATATATTCATGGTATCTTTTTTGGGAAAATTATTGCAGTAACATCATTGAAATGTTCATTGTTAAGAAATATTATCTAGAAAAAAACTAAGCATACATGTCATTTATGCAAATATTCAATAGATTTGAAAAATGTAAAAAGAGTTCCTTTTAAAAAACATAACATGAAAAAAATACTTATGCGATAATTTGCAATTGTTTTTTCTGTGAATTTTTGCATCCCTCAAAACATGCTTCTATAGAAAACTTTTTTATTAAAGTTAAAAATTAATAAGTGCATTCAATTACATCACAACGCTTATCTTTTTACTTTTCTTTCTATGAAAAAATGATAAAAATCAAAGCTGTAGGAAATTACTTATAAAAAGACAATTGACTTTCGGGTTCCGAATATATAAACCAAACTTTTATTTTATTTTTAAATGGAACATCCTGTATATTTGTCGCTTGTTAGAGTCCTCCCCTTTTTCTGACTAAAGTGATACATGTATGCTTGCCATATTGAGGCTGTTACAAATTCGCTTCTCACTACAGGTATCTCGGAAACGGTAAGAGATACGAAGTAGCTTACATAAATGGGTGCAAAGTTGCGTAATCAGGGGACCAACATTATACCTCTAAAAAAATCAAGGCTAACATGATTAGTTTTCAAAATATTTGAAAAAAAACCGAAATTTTGGAAATCCGTTTTTGTTTCATTTCAGTATTGTTTTTGAGGTGATATTGAAAAAGAAGAACACTTTCTCATGTCCACTTTTTGCCCTCTATCGAATGGCATAGTCAAATTTTATATGTAACGTTTCATCTCTCCAGAACCATCATCATCTTCATTCTTTTAAATACGACCCTACAAATTGTATTACATTTTTTGCAAGCCTTCATGACCCTCATTACTGTACTGCCTCATCCCGAATCAGATTCAGACGTTTTGTCTCGAAAAATTCATCTTCAGTGTATTCGTTCCAAATTTATCTAAATTTTTTCTTTAGATTTCTTTGTTTATTGAATTATCGTACACTGTAGCGTTAGACTATGTGAAATCTATCTAGTTATTTAAACTATTACCACCACGCATTAAAATAAAACATTATTAGAGGTTTATTCCCCTGTCCATAGTTATTTCTAGGCTTCTCGAGTGCTCAAAATTCAAACAAATTCCGATTTATTTCTTCCATGATATTCATACAAATACATCTGACATATTCTTTCATAGTTGCGGTTACAGATATAATAAATTCCGATAAATATTACACTGATCTTCATTTTCAACCTTTGCCATAATGAAAATGTTTTTGAACAATTACTGAAACTTTTTAAAAAATAATATTCAGTTGGCGTTTTGGTTGTTCATGTGTATTTTTAAAAATTAATTTTTAATGATAAAATTAAAATTGTAATAAGTGACCAAGTGATGGGAATAGTTAATAACAAAAAATGTTTCATTGTAACACGTGGTGGTAATAGTTTAAATAACTAGATGGACTTCACAGAGTCTAACGACACTTACAGCATACGATAATTCAATAAACAAAGAAATCTAAAGAAAAAATTTAGATAAGTTTGGAACGAATACACTGAAGATGAATTTTTCGAGAGAAAACGTCTGAATCTGCTTCGGGTTGAGGCAGTACAGTATTGAGGGTCATGAAGACTTGCAAAAAATGTAATAACATTTCCAAGGTCGTATTTAAAAAAAATTAATATGATGATTGTCCTGGAGAGATGAAACGTTACATATAAAAATTGACTATGCCATTCGATAGATGGCAAAAAGTGGCCATGAGAAAGTGTTCTTTTTTTTCAATATTACCTCAAACAAGGCTGAAATGAAACAAAAACGGATTTCCAAAATTTCGGTTTATTTTTTTCAAATATTTCGAAAACTAATCATGTTAACATTGATTTTTTAGAAACATAATGTTGGTCCCCTGATTACGCAACTTTGCACCCATTTAAGCTACTTCGTACCTCTTATGGTTTCCGAGATCCCTGTAGTGAGAAGCGAATTTGTTACAGCCTGTATTTGCTTTGAGAGTGTGTGCAATATTTTGGTTTATTTACTGACCTCTCACATTGGATAAATTCAATATTGCCATGAAACCGTTGTATATTTTTGTGCTTTCTGCTATTTTTACTAAACAGATATTTATGTACTTTATTATGAAAAAATGCTATACTATAAAATATGCTTTAGACTAACTTCGTTGCATAGAAATGCAAAGGATATTTTTGTAGTATTTTTTCTTATGAATGAATTTTATGAGCCTCAAGAACAATTTGATCTCATGAAGTTCTTTATATGGGGATTATAAAAGGTAAAATAAACAAAGAAAAATCTAATAATTTGTACGACCTTTGTGAGAAAATACATATTAAACGGAGTTACTACTATCAATAAAGAGAGTCACAAGGTATTATAAAAACTTGCATTGAATAGGATGAAGGTATTATAAAACATCTACATAAGCTATATTGTTTCTTAATAAGGAATTGTAAAATTTATTCAGTAAATTTAACAGTGGAAAACATACGTAGTGATTCCATGGCAATCTTGACTGTATGCTAGATCAGTATAATAGAAACCATAATATACAGGGTGATTCACAAACGGTCACCAAAAATGAAGCATCGTATTCTCTGGTGAATTTTAAGGGGTCTTTCCTAAAAAGTTTTTATCTAGGACGCTTTGTTAAAAAGATACAGGGTGTCAAACTTTAAAAAATTAATTTTTGTTTTTTTTAATCATTTAAAAACTAGTAAGTGAAATAATTTGAAACTGGGCACAAGTATTTATGTAAACATTGTCCAAAACCTTAGGCCTTTTCCTAAAATTTATTAGCTTCAGTTACGGAGATGTACAGGGAATCGGGGTATATTTTTCTAAGTAAAATAGTACGTCACTGCTTTACGGTAACAATCATGATATTTTCGGATTCATCTTTTAATTTTCTATAAATTACTACTTTCTTATGCTTTTCGAAAAAAGCTTGATTTTCGAGTAAAACCAGATCTCAACCCGCTGGATTTCTTTTTGTGGTGTGATGTTAAACGGCTGGTATACAGTGAACAAATTAATACACCTGAGCATTTAGAAGAAAGAATAAATAATGCTGTTCATCAGATTAAAACAACAATAAATTTCAAACAAATTACATTTTCGTTAGTATGTCATTTAAGTAAAACGTAATTTTTTATACACATTCAAATACAACAGCTGTCAAATAACACAATGACAGTACAATAATGACGGCTCCTTTAGAACAGCACAATTTTTGTTTAATTTCCAAGACCTTAATTGCCATATTAGCTTCTTTTAGTTCCTGCCGACTACAGATTATTTTCGTTGTTTTTGCTGATTGTTCTAAAACGGCTACTCCAAAAAAGAAATGTGACATAACATTTATTTTCTATTTAGAATTTGAAGGTTTGTCAAATTATGTTAAATAATAGAGTGTTGCCATTTAAAAAAATATCGTTTTAGTAGCTACTGCAGAAATCTGGCAACACCGGAAAGAATTATGTGTTAATTTTTCTTAATCGCGTTATTTCCTACAACTTTGCATTTGGAAGTATGTACTAGTCTATAACTTTAAATAAAAAAGTTGGCCTATGTCAGGATTAAAAAAATAACACTGTATTGTAATCAGAAAAACTAGAAAAACCAAAAATTAATTAATATACAGGGTGTTCTAGTTTGGTTATATCTTCGACATGCAAGTCAATTATTGTTTTACAACCGCAACAAAATTTCCTAAAACTTTCGTCTCTACCATTTTTTCCTAAATAAGAAGGTAAAAAGCTAAGAATGTTTTGTGAATGACCCTGTATAAACTAAGTCAGTAATAAGAAAAAATTTAAAAGCGGCAGAATTATCCCACACGGATCGTTGTATAAAATTTATTTTAAAAAGCCTGTACTTCTGAAAATAATTTCTCAATCATAAAACTTTATTTTGATGGGAAATAACTACCAATTTATTTATAAACCTACTTTAAATGTTATTGGTTTTGCTCGTTGTTCTATTTGCTTGTAACAACTTGTATAATTTAACACTTATTCTAGGTAATAATTAAAGTTTTGTTATTTCATGAAAGACCGAACATATCAAAATGATACGATCTACATATCAAATTTTTAATCTAACTTTTAACGCCAAAAATTTTCTTTAAACGAATAAAAAAGTAATATGCCGAAACACGAGACCGTTAATTTCTTTTTGCTTAATTCAAAATCTGACGATAAACAAGCAAGTACAAAATTTCATCAAAACAACAAAATGTCATTTACGTTTCAAAAGCTCATAAAAAAGTTAATAAACATTCTTATTACTAAAATGGCTAACGGTCACATTCAATTTTGGAAAAGATTACTTTCTCACTCAAAACAACCCACAAGTTTTTATTAAAAGTAATTCTCCCTACACATAGTCGGCTAAGTATTCCTACGTACTGGATCTAATTAATTAAATTACCATAAGTTGAATTTCTGCTACAGCGGAATACTGCTCGTTAACGCACGTGTAGGTGACATAGCAGGTACAACCAAAAC